AATTGGAACATCTTATAAGAAAAAGTTCAGTAAAGGTAACTTTGTTATTTCTGGATAATTTTTCTGGCCACACCTGCTGAGAAGTGTTTCACGGTTGCTGAAGGTGGTCTGTCCAGCATAGATAACATAAGGTAGAAGAAAAAGCATTGAGCTGTATTCTAGGGCCAGATAGTAGGGATCTTACCTTGTGCTGAACAAAGCCATCTATGCTCGCTTTGAGCAGTGGCAAAGCAATCTTGATATTGCTGAAGACTTTTAGCCTCCCACTCATACAATGACAGATAAATTTTAGCTAGTCCTTCCTTGACCCTATGCTAAATCCTTTACAGGCACTGGTGTATTTAATCCTCATGACAGCCTTAAGGGGTGTGAAGCAGCTGAGGGATTAATATCACCCCTCCTGGAACTAGTTGGTCGGGGGTTGACCTTACCAGGCATCCCAAAAACATACCAAATAACAACATTTCTTAAATGAGACCTATTGCTCCTACCCACCAACCTGCCCTTTTAACCTATAGTATTTGCTACCTTTATACCGCTATCTTTTTCTAGTCACCAACTAGAAAGATGAAAGTTATCTTCAAGATAAGAATCTCCATTTTTATCTCCTAATTTCTTTTTTTTTTTAATGCTTCTTTTCTCTCTTCCAATCCTAGTGTTATTGCATTTGTCACTTAGCTCTTGGTATTTTTGCATAAGTCCTTTTACCAATCTTTTCTTTCCTCTTCAGTATTGTCTCACTGCAATATATGACTACAACACCGTCTCACAAGTCTGAGCATGTCAGACCCAACTCAAAATCCTTTGATTTCCTCTTTACATTCAATTTAATTATAAGAAATTATAGGTGAGAAGCTCTGTATATCAGAAATTTGATTACATGCTGGGCTAGTCATATATCCTTAGTTTACTAGGATAGACACATAAAAATTGTATCAATGTAACATACCATGTGCAACAAAATGTATGACTAATATATCTGGGTAGTATATTGTTTATCTGTAAAGACGTACTGTGAAGGGTTTTGAGCTGTGTCTTTAAAAGTCAGGTGGAATTTGTCGAGAATATGGAATAAAGGGATTCTTTCAAATATGCCCTAGGAAAATCCACTAAAAAGTATGCACAAAATACAGATTCCATTCATAGCATTCAGAATCCTTGCTTTTAATGATCTCCCACCATAATGAGACAGAATTAACCAAGTTTTCCCAAACATGCTGTATTTTTAATTATCCAAAACATGCTGCTCTTTCTTACATCTTGAATTACTTATCTTACTCAACCAATGGAATTTCTAAATCTAGTTGTTTTACTCATCACGCCTTCTCCCCCCAGCCTCTACTTCTGGGGGCTGCTAGTGTCTTTTCCGTATGCATTGAGTATTGTCCTAGGCCTAGTTCTTCTGATGGGAAAATGGCTACTTCAGGTCTAGGTAGCATGCCCAGGTACAACCAGGTCCTCTAGGTGAAACTCCAAGAACTGTATTTTGTAGAACCCAACTCTTCCCACTGAAAAAAGATAATCAGGATCTCTTTCCTGGAAATAGCATATTTTGAATTATGAGAGGCAAAGGCAGCTGGCTGGAAAGGAGGGCTTCAGCCTTCTGTTGGGGAGAGGTCCCTACAATGTTTTGGTTTCTCCGCTTTCTGGAGTTGCTTATTTAGCACAAAAATGAGCTACTTCACTGTGTGCTTCTAGTCAATCTTTCTTTTTTACTTAAGTTATTTGAACTTGGTTTTTGTTACTTGCAGTCATAAAAACCTTTAAGTGTGATATTCAAATATACTATCTAAAGTCATTAATTTTCTTGTATGGGTCTTTTGTTCACCCATGAATTGAGTGAGTGGTATGTAAGAAGTCCTCAATAGATCTTAAATGAAGAGATAAAGAAATGAATGAACTATGCACTATGTTGGGTTCAACTCCCAATTATCTAGGAACACTATTTAAAATTAATCAACCAAAATTGTCAATGAATTAAAATGTATCTATTACTTGGAGCTACAGAATGGTCATAAAAGAGATGCCATATCATGTTTACTGCAACATGGACTTCTCACCCCCTGTCCAATCAGATTAGTAGCACCTGGAGGGTCTGGCTCTCTGCCAATATTCTTTTTGGGTGGGCCTTGGACTGTCTGATGAAGGCCAAGGAGAACACTTCAGTGTAAGAGTGGAGGAATTAGGTACTGGAGAAAGGCTAGGGAGAGATAATATATCTGGCCCCAAGAGGAATCATTCAATACTGCAGGAAAAAAAAAAACAAACATAAAAACATAACAAAAATCAGCTGAAATGTAAAAAAATATGAATGGTTTTTAATAAATAGTAGGCTTTGGGATATTTTTGGAAGGAATTTATGTGATATTGAGTATGTTTAAACTATCATGTCATTTTCACACTTTGGTGTTTATAGAGCAATAAAAACAATCTGGGACGTTGTATGTCATTTTAACCACATACATTTCCATCATATCTACTTTTATTTTAGCTCTGATTTAGTCTTCTTGTTGGTATTTTCTTACACCATCTCTTTCTCACTTATCCACTGGCAAATCAAGAGCTGAAGATTATTTTTCTAGTTTCAGATAAAGTGTAATTTTTTGAATTTAAATTTTAGTTAAAATTGAAATCAATATTTTTCATGAGAAGGTTACTTCGGGTTCTACTATTTCAGGTGTTACTTCCTTCTTGTTGGAGTTATTTAACATTCCCAGGGGATAAAATTTAACTTCCAGTTTGAGTTAATGCAGCTTAGAGAGTCAATATACATACTGTCCTTCTGCAGAACTATAGGTAGAAAATGCTTGGTGTGAGTCAGGTAAGGGACTAATTCATTAGGATAACAAATCTGTCAGGCTCAAAACCTTTTTGTTCAAGACTCTAATGACAGAGGAGGAACCACTTTTTGAAGCTTCTGAAATGTTTTATGAGTTCATTAAAATATTACTATTCATTAATGGAATTTACACTTTCAAATAAGCAGCAAGGGTGGACTCTGATTTTATATCTTGCTTTGAGTGTGGGGGTGGGTGAGTGTGAGGGGAAGAGTGGCTAATGTTTACAAAGGACTCAATAAGTTTTAAGGTTATACACAGTACTTTTTTCAGCAGTAGTAAACAATTCTTCTTGAGTACAAATCTAGTCAGTACTTTCTTATAAAAAATATTTTTCAGTTATCAAAAAAAGTAGAAAACATTTATACATTAATGTATATAACTCTTGGTCTAGCAGTGGTCCTCAAACTTTTTAAACAGGGGGCCAGTTCACTGTCCCTCAAATTGTTGTAGGGCCGGACTGTGGGCCTCAGGACAAGTTGGCTGCTAAACAGGACAGGCAGCGGCGGTAAAAACACTCAGCGGGCCGGATAAATGTCTTAGGCGGGCTGCATGGGGCCCACGGGCCGTAGTTTGAGGACTCCTGGTCTAGAGCCTTAGGTTCTTTATGTTAAGTACATACTTAAAACAGTGGATGATGTGGTCTCAAATTATGGAAGAACATAAAATCTTTAAAGATGTGTTATTCTCTATATACATAAAATTGCCATGTAATATGTTTTCATTTTTTGAGATGAGTTTTTTTTTTTGATATGGAGTCTCATTTTGTCACCCAGGCTGGAGAGGAATAGCACAATCATAGCTAACTGTAATCTTGAACTCATGGGCCCAGGCATCATGAGGCTTTTGTATCAGCCTCCTATCTCTGGGAGTAGCCATCAAAACCTGCCATCATGCCTGGCTAATAGTTTTGTTGTTTGTTTTTTGGTAGAGATGGAGTCTCACTATGTTCCCTGGACTGATCTTGAACTTCTGGTCTCCAGTGATCCCCCCCTCTGGCCTCTAATGATCCCCCCTCTGGCTTTGCCCTCCCAAAATGTTGGGATTGCAGACATAGACCATTGCACTTGGCCCTGAGAAAATTCTTCACTTGCCTGAAGTTAGGGAACCTTATGTTTAAAATATTGTTACTTAACTTCTGGTTTCTGCTCTGACAAGTAAGGAGTTTAGAAGTCACCGGCCTCCGTTAACATGAAGTAAAAAGCTAAAACACACTGAAAATTCAATAACCCTTCTTAAAACCATAAGAGAAGTGAGGTTGTAGGGCAATCTGGTGCTCCTCAAAATGGAGAGAGACAGGTGGATAAAGAGAATCACAGCTTGCGGGAATTGAAACCCACTAGCAGAAGCCTCCCAGAGAACCAGTACCAGGGTAGAAAAATCTCAAGTACAATTCATGAATTGCTGGAAACTCAGCACAAACAACTCTTAGAACAATGTCCAGAGGGGTGCAGTCTTAGACAGGTCCCCACATTTTTCTGAATTTTACCACCAGGAGCTCTCTCAGGTCCCAGTTCACAGTGATTATTGGATAAAGGATCTCTGGGCTTCTGGTGAAGATGGAGTCCCCCATGCATTTTGACTATGCCAGAATATTCTGTTCTTTAGAAAACTTTCTCTCAGGAGAAATGATTTTATCAGAGCCTAACCTGCTATGGTGTTGTCAGAGCCTCATCAACCTGGAAGAGGGGAAATATCCAACTCCAGCTTCTTCTAGACTTTCAACAACAAATTACCAGGCATACTAAAAAACAAAACACAGTTTGAAGACACTGAACAAGCCTCAAAACTAAAGTCAGATATGGCAGAAATGGAGGAAAGTTTTTATTTATTTTTTAAATTTCAGATTAATATAAGGATACAAGTGATTAAGTTACATTGTTTGCATTTGTTAAGTAAAGTCTGAGTTGTAGTAGAGCCTTTCATGGGGGGCGGAGGTGCTTACATCGTGCCCATTAGGTGAGCAATCTCTCTCCCTCCTCCTCTCTCTTTTCTCCCCACTTACTTGAATTTAATTGTGTTTTTCTTTCAGGTGGGTGTGTAGTTGGACATCTGTTGGTTTCATAATAATATTGAGCACACTGGATACTTGCTTTTCTATTCTTGTGATACTTTACTAAGGAGAATGCTCTTCAACTCCATCCAGGTAAATACAAAAGATGCAAACATATGGAATGCTGCATGAATTTTCATGTCATCCTTGTGAAGGGCCATGTCAATCTTTTCTGCATCATTACAATTTTAGTATTTAGTAAGGTGGTACTCACTGATAAAGTGTGTACCATACCAGAAATTCTTTAAAAACTATGATTAATACACTAAGGGCTTTAATGGAAAAAGTAGCAACCAATAAGTACACATGGATAATGTAATCAGAGAAATGGATATTTTGGAACAAATAAAAAAAATGCTAGACATCAAAATGCAGTAACAGAATTAAAGAATGCTTTTTTTTAAATCAGCTTATTAGTACACTGGATATGGCTGAAGAAGAATCTCTGAACTTAATAATATCTCCATAGATGCTGCCAACACTGAATGGCAAAGAGAGAAAGAGTGAGCAGAATATGTAAGAACTGTGGGACAACTATAAAGGATGTAAATGGATGTAATCAGAATAGCAGAAAAAAGAGAAAGAGAAAAAGAAACAGTAGAAATATCTGAAGGAATTGGTGACTGAGAATTTTCTTAAATTAATATCAGACACCAAACCACAGATGCAGGAATATCAGAGAAGACTGAGCAAAATGAAAACCAAAAAAGTTACACTTAAGCACATTATATTCAAATTACAGAAATATGAAACATAAATAAAAATATCTTGATAAAATCCAGTGGAAAAGAATGTCTTACTTTCACAGGTGCAAAGGTAAGAATTACATCCACCCTTTCTTCAGCAGCCACGCAAGCAAGGAGAAAGTGAGGTGAAATAAAGTGCTGAGAGGAGCACCAACCTCAAATTTTTTATCCTGTGAAATTTTTCTTCTAAGGATAAAAAGAAATAAATGTTTCTGAGACAAAAAGAAAATTGAGAGAACTTGTGAGTAGACTTGAATTACAAGAAATCTTAAAAGAAATTCTTAGAGAAAAGGAAAATAATATGAGTCATAAACTTAGCTTTATGTAAAGAAAGGAAAAACAGCTGATGAGGAAAATGTGAAGGTAAAGTGAAAACTTTTAATTTTCTTCTTATTAACTGACCTAGTAGGTAATAGTTTGTTCAAAATAATAATAGCAACAATTAACTCTATAGATGCTTATATCTATGTATCTATCTAGATATGCTTGTGTATGGGTGAAATTAATGTCAGAATGATACAAGGTATGGGAGGCAGGAATTAAGATTATTTTGTTATTATAAGATACTTGTACTACCCATGACATTGTATAATTATAGTGACATTTGAAAGTGGACTTGGATCAGTTGGAAATGTATAATATAAATTCCAGGGAAACCACTAAAAAAAGCAAAAATTGAAGTATACTTGATATGCCAAGAAAGGAGAGAAGTGGAATTATGTAAAAGTCTCAATTAAAATTCCAGAAAGACAGAAAAATTATGAAAGACAAAAATAGCAATAAAGAACAAAGGCAACAAATGGAAAATAGTAACATACACAGCAGATAGTAACTCAGGTATATGAACCATTTTGAATGTCAATGTTCAGTTAAATAATTGAAATACAACAATTAAAGCCAGGCATTGTCAGAATGGATGAAGAAAATAGGATCGAACTATTTGTTTTCCACAAGAAACCCACATATAATAGTATAAAGACACACATAGATTAAAAGTAAAGGGATGTAGAAAGATATACCATACTAACACTAATCAAAGAAAAGTGGGAATACTTCTATTAATTTCAGAGAGAAGAGATGGCAGAGCAAGGGAAGTTATTGGTTAGAAAAAGGTATTACATAAAGGAGTCAAGTCTCCAGGAAGACATAGCAATCTCTAATTTGTATGTGGCTAAAAGTGGAGCATCAATATATGTGAGGCAAAAGCAGATGAATTTCAGTGAGAACTAGGTTAATAAACAATTGTTGTTGGAAATTTCAACCCCCTGCTATCAGAAATGAACATATTTAACAAGGAAAAAAATCAGCAAGGATGTAGCTAAACTCAACACCACCATTAATCAGCTAGCTATAATTAATTAACATCTATCATCAACTTAATTCAACAATAGCAGAATACACATTATTCTCAAGTGCATATAGAATATTCAGCAAGGTCTCCACATTCTGAGCCATAAAATATATCTCAATAAATTTAAAAGTATAGGAATCCTACAGTGTTTGCTCTCAGATTACAGTGGAATTAAACCAGAAATCAGTGAGATAAAGGTAACTGGAAAAATTCCAAAATATTGGAGATTAAACAACACTCCTCTAAATAACACATGTGACAAAGAAGAAATTTCAAGAGAAGTTAAAAAATATTTTAAGCTAGATAAAAATGAAAATATATCTTAACAAAATTTGTGAGATGCAAATTAGAAGGAAACTTGTAGGATTGAATATATACAGATTAGAAAAATAAATCTAAATTAATAATCTTAGTTTCCACCTTAGGAAACTAGAAACAGAAGAGCAAATTAAATCCAAAATAAATAGAAAAAAAAAAAACGGATAACAAAAAATAAATCAGGAATTAATAAAATTTAAAATAGAAAATCAATAGAGAAAATCAACCAAAAAGCTAGTTCTCTTGAAATGATTGATAAAATTGATACATATCTAGCCAACCTATCTAAGAAAAAAGAAGAGACAAGGAGGACACAAATTACTAATATCAGATATAAAAAAGGGAACATCATTATAGATTCCATAGACATTAAAAGAACAATAAGGGAATATTATGAAAAACTCTGTGTTCACAAATATGATAACTAGACTAAATGGATCTTTCTTTGAAAGATTACAATCTGCTAAAATATGAGAAGAAATAGTCTAAATAGGCTTATACCTGTTAAAGAAATTTAATCAATAATTAATAACATTTCAAAACAGAAAGTACCAGGCCTACATGGGTTCACTTGTGAATTCTACCATATGTTCAAAGGAGAAATTATACTAATTTTCTACAATCTTTACTAGAAGCTTTAAATAGCAGGAATACTTTCTAACTCATCTAGGAGGTCAGCATTATGATAAACACTGAAACGAGACAAGGGCATGACGAGAAAACTATAGACCAACATCTGTCGTGAACAAGATGCAAAAAAATCCTCAACGAAATGTTAGAAAACTGAATCCAATGATCTATTAAAAAAACCCACCATGGCTCAGCGCCAGCCACATGCACCTAAGGTGGCGGGTTCAAATCCCCAGCCCGGGCCCGCCAAACAACAATGATGGCTGCAACCAAAAAATGGCCAGGCGTTGTGGCAGGCGCCTGTAGTCCCAGCTACTTGGGAGGCTGAGGCAGGAGACTCGCTTGAGCCCAGGAGTTGGAGGTTGCTGTGAGTGTGATGCCATGGCACTCTACCCAGGGGGGGATAGCTTGAGGCTCCGTCTCAAAAAAAAAAAAAACCCACCATGATTGAGTGGGATTTATTCCAAGTATTCAGGATCATTCAACATTTAAAAATAAATTAATGTGATGGATCACATCAATAAGTAAAAGAAGAAAAATCACACAATCATATCAAGAGATGCAGTAAAAAAAATTGACAAAATCGAACACTCATTCATGACGAAAACTCTTAGCAGACTTGGGACTATAAGATTTACATGAGTTAAACTGATGAAAAATACAAAACAAACAAACAAACAAAACCCTAAATAATTGGAGATATGTTCCATGGTTAAGAATAGGAAGACTTAATATTGTCAAAATATCAGTTCTTCCCAACTTGATCAATTGTGTTTCAACACAATTCCAGTCAAAACCCCAGCAAGTTATTTTGTGAGTACAGAAGCACTATCTCTAAAGTTTGTAGTGAGACGGTATGCAGCATAGCCAACATACTATTCAAAAAGAAAAACAAGCTCAGATGACTGCCACTATCTGACTTCAAGGCTCACTATACAGCTACAGTAATTAGAAAGTGTGGTGTTAGCAAAAGAACAGACAAATAGATCAATGGGGCAGAGCAGAGAGTTCAGAAATACACCCACACAATACAGTCAGCTGATCTTTGACAAGAAGCAAACACAAAACAATGGAGCAAAAATGATCTGTTCAACAAATGGCATTGAAAGAACTAGAATTTCACATGCAAAAAAAAAAAAAAAAAATAAGAAGGAGACGAAAGAAAGAAAAGAAACTAAGCCCAGACCTCACCCCCCTCACAAAAAATAACTCAAAATGAATTACAGACTTAATTGTAAAATGCAAAATTATTAAGCTCCTAGAGTGTAAAAAAAGAGAAAACCTAAATGACCTTGGCCATGGCAATGATTTCTTAGTTCCAATTAAAGGTATGATTCATGAAGGAAATAATTTGTGAGTTGGATTTTATGACAATTAAATGCTTTCTGCTCTGTATAAGACAATGTCAACAGGCTGAGAAGGCGAGCCACAGACTAGGAGAAAACATTTGCAAAACACACATCTGATACAATATACCAAAAACTCTGAAAGCTCAATAATAAAAAAATGAAAAACCCAATTAAAAAATGAACAAAAGATGTGCACAAACACCCCACCAAAGAAGATATAACAAGTAAGCATATGAAAAGGTGTTCAACAGAATGTATCCTTAGGGAATTATGAATTAAAGCAACAAGGATATACTACCACTACACACCTATTAGAATCACAAAAATCCAAATACCAGAAGTTGGTAGGATGTGGAAGCAACAGTGATTCTCGTTCATTAAGGAAATGCATTGTTAGAACCACCGTGGAAGACAGTTTGGCAGCTTCTCATGAAACTAAACATATTCTTATGTATTCTCACCGTGTGATCCAGTAATCATGTTCCTTGATATTTTCTCAGATGAAATGAAAACATATATCCACACAAAAACTTGTAAACAAGTATGTAATACAAGCTTTATTCATATTTACCAAACAAGATGTCCTTCTGTAGATGAATAAAAAAACTATGGCACATCTGGACAATGGAATGTTTATCAAGGCTAAGAATAAATGAACAATCAACCCGTGAACAGGCATTAAGGACCCTGACTACACCTGACAGAAGCCAAACTGAAAAGGCTGTGTACTGTGATTCCCGCTGTGTGAAAACCTGGAGAGGAGAAAACTATGATGATAATAAAAAGATCAGTTAGCAGTTGCCATGGGTGGGGATAGGGGC